AACCCCCCTGTTCCCCACCTTCCTGACCGCCCCGACCCCTATCCACCACCTCGCGCCCCCTGACCACCACCCCGAACTCCCCTGCCCTCCTATCCAACCACCCCACTCCCTGCCCCCTTACCACACTGCCTGGAGCACAGGTGGCTGGTGGCACTACAGCCGCGCCGCCCGGCTGGAGCCAGCTACACCGTCACTATCGCGCACAGCACAGAGCACCGGGTCAGGCTGGGATCTGCAGCTGCACTGCCCCAGGAGCTCGCAGCCCCGCTGCCCAGAGCATTGTGCCAGTGGCAGAGCGAGCTGAGGCTGCGGGGGAGGAGGAACAGCGGGGGAGGGTCCGGGGGCAAGCCTCCTGGGCCAGGAGCTCAGGGGATGGGCAGGAGGGTCCTGCGGGCCGGATGTGGCCCACAGGCTGTAGTTTGCCCACCTCTGATTTAAGGGAAATATCCCCTCCCTCACATCTATAGGGCCCCCGGCACTCACCTGTTGGAGCCCTAATACCCAGCAACCACCTATATTCCTTTAACTGCTGCTGTCCGCATGTTCTACTATATCAGACAGTATTGCTGCATACAGGGCTCATACAGCTTCAGGGATGGATGAAGACTAAATGTGGTTCCGATCAAAGTCATGGGGCCTACAATTTGCTCATGTATTTTGAGGGTGGTGGTGACAGTCACACCACTTGTGAGCCCCTTCAGTTAAAGAATTTGGGAGCCCATTCGGAAGGAAGTTTGATTCTGCTTTAATCTGCTTCAATCTGATTACACCAGACTTCCTCACCAAGGGCTGGCAGGGAGGACTCTGTGGGGCACTGAATACTTGCCACACTAGTAACCCACCTAGGTCTGGTATCAGATGGGGGTGTGATGCTGACAGGCCAGGTGCCAGCTCATGCCAGAGCCTCAGACCGCATAAGATGGTTCCAAAGTAAGGGGCTCGGGTTTCCGGGACCGTTCTGGCAGAAGGACACTTTCCAGGATAGTAAAGCAGAGAAGAGCACATACTTGCCAGAAACGCAAGGACGAGCTGAAGTTCCAGAGACAGTCACAGGCAGTACTGTGAGACACCAAACTGAGAGGGTGGTGGGGCGGCAGGCCCCTTTCTACCAGCACTATCAGTGCGTGACTCCAGGGCTGACCCGATGGATACCTCTGAGAGAGAACTTTCCGGCGGCTGTTCTCAGGGTGAGCACACACCTACTTTGGAATGGCCGTGAGCAACACATTTCAAAGAACAAGAGTTATGGAAGGTCAGTAACCGTTTTTTTCTGATGGCCTGCCCTGAAGTAGGCACCTCACACTGGGAGTCATTGCTTTGGTAAAGAGTGAGACTTGCTTTAAATAGGGTGTGAGTCCCAGAGGAGATGTGAGACAACT